CTGCCTCAACAAGGATGGTGAATATCTCCCCTTTTTTTTTTTTTTTTTTTGTCTGTTTCCCCCCCCCCCCCCCCCTTTTACCGTGACATTTAAAATATTTTAAGATGAAAAAGGGCCGTCACTCTATGGAAACAGAGACCTTACTACCATCTGAGTAGAAAATGCCACAAGCTTCAGGACAAAGTGAATAATCGGATGTGCAGTCGAGATGGTCATGGTCATCATTTCAGGTCTCTCTTGTAAATGAGTCCTCGAAGCTCAATGGGATTAAGCTGTCTAAATAAAGGTTGAATGAATGCAGTTCTACATTTAAAAAAAAAATATTGTGTGAACACTTAGAGAAGTAACTAAAGGGTAGCGTGATAATGGTTTTGCCTAAATCTCTGTTTGTTTGTCTGAACCGTCAGCAAATTATATTACGCTTGCTTCAAACCTTGGCACTAACTTTTGGACATAGTTGCCAAGTTCGCTTATTGTAAGCAACTTTGGGCTTGGTTTTCTAAAGTCGCTTGTAAATCTTGTGAGTCGCGGGTTGCGTTTTTTTTGTGGGGGGGCTTGTTTTGAACGTGAAGTTGCTTATTTGGGCTTGACTTCCTTTCCGAGTGAAACTAGTTGATTATCTCCCAGCTCCGCACAATAAAGCAAAAGACAAGTGGTAGTATGTAGTTTGTCTCTTCCACGCCCCCGTTTCCTGTTTATCGCCCAAGTTGGCGAGGCGACAGGCGCACACATAGACATACATAAACATACATAAACATACATAAACATACAAATACGTCTGTGGGCGTACACCTCAAACACTCATACTGTGGCCGACCACTAGGGGGCTCCACTCACACGCAGATGTCAGGATATTTTGTTTTTTAAAATATGTAAAAAAAAATTACATATGCAAAATGTATTTTTAGCAGAGCTTAAAAGTATGTTATTCAAAATGTTTATCATAATTTTGCTGTTGTTTATGTGTAATGTTTATATTGTTTAAAAACAGCCTCTGTGTTACACAATATGGTGGGTTGCCAGTTGGGCTTGTTGTCACAGAGCTGGTTGCTGGTTTCTATCGCGAGATCTGGCAACACTGCTTTTGGAGTTAACCCAGTTTGTCAGCAAGCTGTGTCATGAACCACTGCACACATCTGAATGAACTAATCATTGGATTTGCATCTACATTTGATTAAACAGCCCAATCAACACAAAAATGGTTCCACCTCAGAAACATATACAGATCTTGAGATAAACTTTGGTGTGGTAGCAGCTGAGCATGATTCAAATCAAATCGCAACAGATCACACAGCATCGCATGAGTCTGCACTTCTTTTTTTTTTTTTTTTTTTGAGGTTTAACTAAAGTGACTATAACTGTATTTTCTTAACACAAGAGGATTTTAGTCTAAACCTCTGGAATGAAAGGCGGCGGGTGATGTAATTTTATCGTTTTTATCATGTTTTGAACTGAATCACCTTAATGGGGTTTTTCAGTAGTTTAAAGGAAATGGTGATGAAGTGTACAAATGTTATACAAGTTGACAGAATGCTTCAGAAAATAATCGCAACAAATAGCCGGTTTCTCACAACATGACAAGCGCAATTGTAGAAACTGTGTTCACGGGGAACTGAACCTGGCAGGAACAGTTCTCTAAGCATACAGAGTCAAAGGCAAAATTATTAAATGCATTCCACCAAATCTAATGCTGCGTGAGAAGCAGCTTCTCAAAAAATAAATAAATAAATAAAACGAGACAGTTCCAGTCCAGTTGCTACTTTTCACCCTTACAACAGCAGCTCTAAAGAGAGACCGTGTCGGATATGAGAGGAATGTCAGACGGGATTACAGTCTAGGTGCAGAGCTGCTGTGTAAACGCCTGGTTAGGTTAAGCTTTGAGATGAAGATGCATCATTTTTATCCTTATCTTCTCGCACATTCTCCCTCATTGCTTCTGCACTCTGGTGCTCTTTGCTCTCAGTGTGCTCCTACTGGACCATTACACATGAGACGCTGTGGTTTCTGCACAGCATCCAATGGTTCTTTAATGGCAGCAGCTGCAACTCTGGAAAGCTGCATTACCAAAGTAGATGTAGGAGCCTTTTTAATAACTCCAAACTGGAAACAAAAAGAACCAGCTAATCCATCATTGCAGCCCTCCATGCTGATTTTACAGAAGAACAGTAGAGGAAGAAAGACTAGTATGGCGGGTGTAAGGATGCTGCTAATTCGTAGATGTGATGACAAAAAGAAAGGGGGGTGGGGGGGGGCAGTGCAAGCATCAGATCTCCCCCATATCCAAAACTCAGCCTAATGCTACAAAGCTGCAGGATAAAAGCTTTGGAAAAACAAAAGCAAGCGTGCGTCTATGCTGAATACAACAATGCATCCCAGAAAGCATGCAGACAGTGCACCTACCTTTATGTTGGGAGGCGGATTACTTCTCTCTGTGCATCTTCTTCTCTGCTGGAGGACCAAAGACTCCCCCATCAGCAGAGAAATGAAAGAAAGAACCACAACAAACTCTCAATAAGCGCTGAACCGTTGAGACAAACGAACGATGAACAAACAAGCAGCTCAACCCAGCTCGTCGCTGTTCAGGATAACTATGACAGGCTATTATGTCTCCTCATCTGGGAAAACAGCCTCATGAAAAGCAGAATTACGCAAGCTGACATCGCTAAGGTGACTCGGAACGATGCTCTAGCGCAAACTAAAGAAAAGGGAGATGTTTCGCCCCTGGTTTTCCGTCCATCTCGTTGTGATTTTGGTGAATAGAATAAAGCGGAGCGAGACAGATGCTTTCAGGCTGAGGCAGCGAGCAGGTCCCTTCACTGTTGGTGCCTACGGAAGCCCGCGTGGTCGCAATTTCCTTTCGCTTTTCTTTTGATTTATTTGAGATGGAGGAAGTGTATAAACTCTTTTTTTTTTAGCACCCAGATCTGAGGACAGGGTGGGAATTACTATACCAAAAAGATAATTAAATACTTTAAACTACCGTAGTTGCTCTTTTTTTTTAGTTAAGGTGCCCATCTTTCATCTCAGGTATCCATTTATTTAGGAGATAAATATGTTTAAGTTTAAACAACAACAAAAAAATCCATGCCAAGTTTAACCTATATTTTAGTTTATTTTCACCAAATATGGACTTGTCTCCAGTTTGGGTTCGTTTGGTAATTCAGACTCATAAAAGATGTTTCAATTAAGTCACAAGTTAGCAAGACATAATACAAACACCTTTGTTGCCTTCAAGTTAAATAGTTTTTGTATAAATGTATCGTTATATAATTTAAAAGAGTATTGTAAAAGATATACGATAGAAAATAATACTTTTTCTTGCATAAAGTAAAACATGCTAACAAGCTAACACGTTAACTTGTGAGCTGTAATTAAATGTAATCTTAATTTTAACAAATTGATCCCATAAAACAAAGCTATAATTTGTATGACTTAGCCCCAACCTGAAATTACACTTAACTTTTAAACATAGTCCATCCAAGATTACCTTTTCTTGTGAAAACTTTGGTCTTCAGTTCATTGTGTTCTTCCTAAACCTTTAAAAGCTGATAATTATGTTTTAGACCTAAATCCTACGGAGCCCCGGAGGGGACAAAATACATTTCAAGTTTCTTGATAAATACTTTCTCGTGTTCAGCGTCATGTTGCTCTTTTGCATCATCTAGTGGACAAAAATACACTGCAGGAGTCAGCCGCTTGTAAAGTTGCATTTCAAATACTAATACAGAAGAAAACAAATTTCAGATTTTGATGAAATAAGTTTTATTTTCTCAATGACATTTATGAAGCCAGAAAGAAAATCTGATTTTTGACTTGCGTGTCAAAAATGAGTTTTCTGATCATCACGTCAACATATACGCACAGCACCACCTTAAAATCACTGAAAGTCTTGGATTTGATGCAGAGCCTTGGTTACCAAATCTTGGGTCTCCATCTGAATTGAGTGCTTATGAGAACAAAGTTCCTGCCAGATTAAATTAAAATAGTAAAGGAGTAAAAACAAAGAGAAACTTCAGACAAATAAAGCTGATATGTCGTCCCTGTGGAAAAATAAATCAGCTCCGCTTCATTTTCTTCTTTAACCTGGACGCCAAAAAGTTCACAAAACCCAGAAAAAAATCAAACAAAACGACCTGAAACACTGAAATAACGCCAACACGCCACATCTGTGTTGTGATGTTACACGAATGCACCAACGCTCAAGCTTTTATTTCCAGACGCCTAAATTGCACAATTTGTGGAATGTTAGCAACGATTGGTAAACAATAAACGGTTAACATTTTTGCAACAAAGTGCAGTGCATGTAAAACAAGAGGTACAAAAAAAAAAATTTTAATCAGGATTTACAGAAGCTAAATTTTGTGTAAAATAAGAACATAAAAAATAATGTGCACAAGTGGGTTTTGTAATGAAGCTTGGAACAGAAGACCAGCAGGGATTGCTTAAAATCTCAATCAATAAACCAACGGAGCCATACTTTTTTTCTGTTCTAAGATGATCAGTAACAAGGTGGCAAAGCTCAATAGTTTATATAATTAAAGTTAAATAATTATTCCTGACTGCTCAAAGACAAATGCTGCAGTCACTTTTTAAATTCCCTATGCTGTGATCATTTTTCTGATATTTACGCTCATCTTGGGCAAAGTTTAACAATTTTAGAAAGTCCTTTTATTTCCCCATAGCTTTCCTGAGGCATAAAAAAAACACTATGTGGGCCATTTATGTGGATTAAAGAATCAATAATTAGCAATGAGCAGGTACAGAAACAAAATCTGACAGACCAGGCTTTAAACGACAACCTTCTCGTGCTTTACAGGAAAAGCAAATCAAACATTGAACACACGCACACACACACATATCCAAATACTCCTGTGTAATTTTTACCTACCATTCAACAAGTGTGGTCAGAAAGATGCCAACTTAGCTGCAGATTATTAGATTTTCACAGCTTAACGTTGCAGTTGACTTGCACAACTCATCAGGTTGTTCAGTTTAGCTCATCTGAAGTGTGAAGGAGGGGAAGAAATTTACAGGAAAAAAAAAAATCAACGTTTTACCTTTTTTTTTGGTACCAGTTGTCTTTTTTTATACATCTATGCTTCCCCTTAAAAATAACTCGCACATGAATGATAGTTAAAAATAAAACCAGGTAAATATAGACATTTAAATAATTTACGACATATGTACACAACAATCCATCTTATTGTTCCAGCAGTATTCTCTTCTCAGAGTGTGAGAACGTCTTCTAATCTCCCATCTTTACTTTTGAGGTCTGAGAAGGAAAGAAAATATTTTTTACTATAAACGTCTGAAAAGGATGCGAGGAAATAAAAACGGAGGTAAATCTCATTTACCTGCAGAATGGCTACGATGACACCAAACAGGCCAATGGCGCTGCCAAAGATTTCCACAATGAGGATCTTCACAAAGAGGCTCGCGTTCTGGGCGTCAGCCAGCGCTGCTCCGCTGCCAACGATGCCCACGCAGATCCCACAGAAAAGGTTGGAAAAGCCCACAGTCAGACCCGCCCCAAACATGGAGTAACCTGACAGAAATGGGAACAAAATGAGTCGAGAAACTAAAAAAAAATTAGGGAAAAAAACAAAAGGAAATACCATATTTTTCGCCCTATAAGTCGTGCTTTTTTTTGGATAATTTGCATGCCCTGCAACTTACAGGCCGAAGCAACGTATTTATGAATTTTTTCCCCCCAAACATTTATAAACCAATTGTTGGCTACGATATGACCGTTTTCATTCATTCGGACTGAAAATATTGATTGAACACTACCATTTTCAGCCGCTAGATGGCGCTGCAGTAGCTGGGCATGCCGTTTTATCGTAATAGGTAAACGTGGCTATTAATGACAAATTCGAAAAATTTCAAGACAAAAACAACTAGACTTTATTTATTATTATTCACTTTATATTGTTGTTTTTGTCTTGAACTTTTTTGAATTTACCATGTCCAGGATGACTGAGAATCATCACCAGTTATTAATGACACAATCGGCTTGCCACGGTCTCCCACCTTCGTTCTGCTCGCTGCTTGGAGCAAACGTCATATCAGCTTCATTTCGCCGCACCGCCCCGGCGAAAGAATAATAATAATAATAATAATGCAGCTAATTTGATCATTGAAGTGCATTTATGAATTAAAATTTCAACTGAGATAAACCTTTACTATAATTTCGAGCGAACAAATAATTGTTTTTAAGTGTTAATTTTGTTAAATTCTTGTTAAAGTCCTTCCGTGTACACTCCTGCGGCCTCCATTTGGCAGCCCATCGATGTTTGGCACAACACCGGCCCACATTTCCAGGTTGTCAACGGTGACGCATAATAGATGTGACGTATATGGCAAAATTTATGGATTTTTCCACTTTATTAAAACATATTTGGACTGATGCGACGTATCGGGTGGAGCGACGTGTACGGCGGAAAATATAGCATGTGCTTCCTACGAAGACAAAAATACACAAGTGAAAGGTTGGGCAATGCCTTGGTGCAATTTTATACTAAACTTGTCAACTTCTTTTCAGGCCCCTTTAAATTTCTGTTGCTTCTCGTCCGTTTTCTTACCAGCTTGGTAATTTCGTGCTCCAATGGTCTCGGGGGTTGTTCCACTGAAGTTCTGGAAAATGCGGGAGATTATTTTAAGAAACTCATCTTCATTCTGCTTTTTGAATTATATTTCAGTCCTTCACATCTTAAAGCTCAAGCCTTCTTCCAGCCTTGTATAGGTTTCTAAAAAGAAGGAAAGGTGATAGTTACCTCAGCCATGTTGCTGATGACAATAGCCATGATGATCCCATAAATGGCAACAGCTTCGCAGAAGATAATGCTACAGAAACAAAACAAGAGCATAAGGAAAATAAAATCTCTCCATCCAAACATAATTCATTTGACTGGGAAACATTAAAATGTAATTATTTTATCATTTTGTGTCCAACTGTTGTTATTACTGGTGGGATTCGGTCTATCTGAACACTTCTGATATCTAAATAAGCCTACCTGACCAAATTTTTGGTTTTGATTCGTGGGGCCTTGACACCGCCACCAATGATGCTGGAGCCAGTGATGTAGATGCCCCTAGAAAAACAAGGACAAAACAAAACTATCAGTGCAACATTTTTCACATCAGAGTCATTAACTGATGTAAAATTTTAAAAAGAGCCATAGCCAGAAGGCTGTTGATCATTTTACTCAGCCAAAAATTAACTCTAACCTGCCTGAGGATGGTCACTAACATTTGCTTCCACGAACACAACTTCTGTGATCCGATTAGTTCTAAATGCATCCGAGACATGGCCATTATAACAAAACACCCTGAAGATTGTTCTAAACGATCCATTTAAACTAATAACTCTGCACATTTTACATAAACTACATATTAAAGAAGGTTAAAAGAACGGAATATTTAAATTTAAAGTGAAGATTATTCTCGTCTACGTGAAGGTAATTATGACGCGAAGCAAGTTGTCATCTCGCAGTAATATATGAACTTTACTTAGAAATGAATGGGAAACACACAAGAGCATTCATCGTTTATTTTAAATTGAGACAACAGGAACTAATATTACTTGTAAGTCAGAGGCCAGTTCAGTACAGAGCCTGAATAATATTTAATCTCTTCACAGTTAAACCTTTACAGCATAATGGAAAGTTTGTAGTTTCATTTGCATCTGTTAAGATTATTCTGTTGATCAAGAACAGCAACTTCCCTAATATATTTATCTCTGCTTGTCTTTCATAAATTTAAGCTTAAAACAAATCAGAATGTGACAGTTAGGCCTGTCATGATAACAAATTTTTCTGGGCGATTTACTGTCTTAGAAATTATTGCAATAAACAATAATATTGTTTTAAATTTGACAATAATTAGGAATTATTGTCCAATTTAAGAAGAAACGTTTAATTTGTTTTGCATGTAGTACCTTTTTTCGACCACCGGAAGGCAGTGTAAGACTGTTTGAACTGAAGGATGGATAACAAACAACAAAGCCCATGCTCAATGAATGAAGGATGGATAGTGAGGGAGCGAGCAGCGCGTCCCTTTAAGAAAAATGGGAGGGAGACCCTTTGACATGACATGGGCTGTCTCTCTCTGGTTCTCAAAATGGCGGACGCTCGGTGTGTTTTGAGCTCTTTAGCATAGCATTTGTCACACAAAGCTTTTAATAATTTTTTTTTTTAATCAGTAAACAAGTTCTCAGCTTCTTTTTGCAGAGAAAAAACTTTTTACACAAAAGCACGAGTTTCAACCATGAATTTTGGAGCTTCGACAAGACGGTGTTTATGTCCCCAGAGGTCGGCCTGTTAGCTTAGCTTCTCAGCTTAGCTGCTTTTCGTGATCCAAAAACGCAATTTTGGATGGTTAAAACAGATTTTAAAGAGGAAAGAGAAAGGGAGGGGTCAGTGGAGAGCACCGGAGTTGAGCCTTTTTTGTCATCCAGTGTCTTCAGAAAGTGAGAGACACGAAGAAACGATAAAGCGACTAAATGAAAAGGAGGTCAATAATTTTAATTTATTGTGGGATTAATTAATATATCGTTTATTGTGACTGCCTGAATATGCAGTAAAATGAGAATTCCAAGATGCCAGAATAAGGGACTGATACTACTTTATAGTACATGTACCATGCACCATTATTTAGTTTTCAAATGAACTTTAAATGGAACTTTGAAAAGGAGAGGCCAATATTTTTAGACAAATTTGACATTTTAGGATGGCTGTTGTTTCAATTTTCAAACAAAAATACAAAACAGGTGTAAGTTCCCCCATATATTTGTTTCTTGTTGAGCACTCACCAGGCAGCTCCCACCACAGACAGAGAGATGGCCAAACCAATGCCCAGATTGGCCCACATAAAAGGAGACGTCTCCGTCAGGAACCTGAGGGATGAAAATACAAAGAAGAACTTTAAACCAACATCAAAAGCATCAAAACAACCCTTTATTGACTTAGTTCAGCTTCAACCCATTAGTTTTAATTAAAATTTGAGGGGAAAATATAGTTTTGCAGGATGAATGCGCGATGTGCACCACAACTGGCTCCATGAGATGATTCCCTGAAGTAAAACATGGCCCAACAATTCATCTGACTACGTCTCCAAACATGCAAGAAGACAGAAAAAAAAAAAACTCCTATATACCATTTCCTTCGTGCTTCAATTTTGTTTTTGCAAGAAAAAGACTAAATGTTTGTTTTAAAAAGAGAGGAAACACATTTTGATTGAACACTACAGAACAGACTGTCAGGAAAGACTTGCTGAAATGTGACTGATTCAGCAGTAGTCTCAGACATCGCAGTGCAGAAATTTATTCGACGTCCTTTCAAGGAGCTGCATTTGGTCTAAATAATCACACTGTACAACAAACTGTATTCCATATTGTTTGTGTAAAGAGCAGAACGTGTCTGAGCTCATTTGAGACTACAGCAGGTAATTTCCCACATACAGTTATCACATTGACTGATGTCTTTTGTTAATATGTCAATTTTTTTTTACTATAATCTACAAAGTCCAGCAGATAAACCTACAGACTTTGTTTGGAGCATGTCCTGCTTCCTGTGCGGCCTACATGCCACTCCAGAGTATTTCCACAACTCAAGTCTCGCACACAAGCCTTCCGTTTCTGTTAGCATAACCACCAAGTCAAATTTAATTACCAAGTTTCAGAACAAAGTCATGTTTTTATCTAGCAGTGTTATGAACAGTTTACCGGTAGTACCCACCCCATCTCACTATTTAAGAAAACGTCAGACTAATGTGTCAAAGTAGAGGAAATACTCAAAATGAGCCACGACGACAGACATCAGAAAGTAACATTTAATTTATGGCCGTGATTTTAAATGGTAAGAACAGTAACTTTAAAAAAAAAACATACAAAAACTCTGCTTCAAATAACTTATATTCCTATAAAATAATGACTGTGTTGTTTAATCTTGTGGATTTTATTAGCAAGAGAACAAAAAGTTATCTGTATAGTATTCGTTTTCTTAGGATGGTGCAACAAAGTCACTAAAGGTTGTGTTTCCTTACAACAACAACAAGCTACATGAAATTAAAATATTGTGTTTTAAATACTTCAGCTTGTACTGTTCTGTGCTTTGGGATTTTTTTAAGACTCCATGGGATAAAATACATTAAAAAAAAAAAGACTATGAAAACTGATCTTACCATGCCACATCAAAACGGAATCCAAGGTCAAATATGGTATAACAGATACCTGTGGGGTAAACAGAAACATGACAGCTTGCAAGTGAGTCAATTACAGCAAGATTTTATCGTTTAGACATGACTGTCTCACATGAATGTGAAACTATTTTAATATTATCCTAATTTCTAAAAGCTTTGCTTCCAAGAAACAGATTTTCTATAAACAGTCTGCAAAGATCAACACTAAACATGAAGAATTACTGATGGCAAGCCTGAAGGAAAACTATGACAACCCTAAAAACGTGGAAACAAGTGGCAACATCTGTATGATGGCTCAGTTTCACGTGGAAACATCTGCAGTTCCTTTTTTAAGAAACCTGTGTTGCAATAATAATTAAAAAAAACTAGCATGCTACCATTATGATAGACCAACCTAAAGCTTTAAGCTGCTAAAAGGGAAGCAGGAGAACACTTAGAAATAACTAAATTACTTCTATTTCTACAAATAAATAAAAAACTAGTCAACATAAATCGCCACAGCTTCTGTCCGGTGAAGTTAGCTCTTCGGCTAGCATGAAGGGAGCTAGTAAGAAGCTAACGTGCGCAGCTCGCCTCGCAGATAAATGCACAAACCCATCATTTCCAAAGCAAGCTGTTTATTAGGTCTCCAGCTACTAATATATACAAAAGTCCTGACTTTCAACTGGTTAATTTAACAAACAGCACGAAGCAGCTAGCTGAATGAACCGCAACAATGCTAGTTCCAAGATTTAGCCAGGACCCACTGGCTGCTTCAATTCATTGAGCCACAAGACGACAATGATCGAGTAAATGGCGATTATTCGGGATGTGTGAACGCGTATAAAAATAATTCACTGATTCGACTGTTACGAGTGAATTACACGAGAATCTGTCCCCTTACCTACGATTAGTATGGTGCTCCAGAAGGCCAAAGTGACCCCCGTGTAAAGAATGGCGTGTCCGTTCATCATCCACTCCAGCAGCATCTGTCCGGTACTCTAACCTGCTAGAGCAGCGGGATACACTTGGCTCAAATTTAAAATTTGAGGCCAGAGAGACCAAGGGAACGATAAAACCCTGTTTCAAAAGACGCTAGCTATCAATGGAGGAGGAAGAGCACCAAAAGGAGAAGCAGGTGATGTCAGCTGATTCGGTTCGACTAGCATGTGACCGAGGAGTGGAAGGCTGCGTTCAATGTCTTCTTCAACGCCGCCTGAAGCAAAACATTCACTTATTTATTACCTGCCACCACCCTTTACAGCATTGTAGAGTTATTCATACAATAAACACACAATGCAAAATGCCCCATTTTTTAATTTGACTCATAAAGTTTGTAAATAAATCCTAAAAGGCTGCATTCCTTGAAACTTAGGTTAATGCAACTCCCAAAGTGGCCGCTAGATGTCACTGCTGTAACACATTTAACACAATGTGGCAATTATTCTGATGCGTGCTCAATAATCCAGGTAGAAAACTCTCAAAAAGTTAAGAAATGACTTTTTAAGATATGGCAATTATTGTTGATTTCTGTAGTCAGCGCCTAATTTTTATATTTGTATATAAAAACCTCTAAAAACAGTGGTGTGTTACTGCTCACTCACAAATTAATTTCACACATGACATCTATAGAATCAGAGTCAAGAGTCAGAGAGTCAGAGTTTCTTTATTTGTCATTCGCATCACATGTGGTACATGAGGTAGAATGAAATTGTGTACATAGGGTCCTGGTTACATCAAACAATAGCAAAAATATAAAGTGTAAAAAGAAATAGTAAATAAGGATCTGAGATATAAACTAAGATATACACTAAACGGACGCCCAATGGTACGCTAAAATAAATGTAAATATATATATTCAATTTAATAAAGATTGTGTCAGTTAGGACCAAATAAATACAAAGAAGTCAACCATTCATATGAACTCAATCAGGGCTGCTAAGTTTTTTTGATCTGGGAATTGTCTTTAAATGCAATTAGTGGGCGTTGGTACCCTAGTTGTATTAGTGTATGTCATTTAGCATGAATAAATAATTAGCAGACATGGTTAAATACACTATAACATATGATTTTGTTGGTTGCTTTTTAACAAGATAGTGATGCAAAACAAGCCCCTTTTTTGAAGGACTATTTAAGAATTTAAGTGTTGCAAACATCCTAAATATGCCTTAAGAGTTTGGACCAATTATAGTTTTGTAAGTACTTTGTTTCCCAGTCTTTCAGTTGTGTGGCAAACATTAGGAGAAAGTGGAGATAGTCTTGACTGATCTGTGTTTTCTGAAATCGATACTGCTAAGTAATCTCATATCTTCCTGTTTATATGCACTTGTTGCCTAAATAGGCTGCAAAAACATAATAAGAATTGAATCACCAATCGATAATTCTGTTAATAATCTTCCGTCTCTTCTGTTCTTACATGTCTATGAGGGTTGGGAAAGTTGCTGGGACCTTTTAATAAGTGAAATTCAAGGTCTCGCTTGTTTTAAGCCTGAGTTGTATACCTGCTGGTCATTTCAGGCTCTGCTGCTTTAGTTTTATACATTATTTCACTGATGAGCTCGAACCCATGCACGGAAAAGCCTCAAGAAAGTACGATGATGAAGTAATGGGATACTGAAAGCTTTAATGATGTGAGGTTCACTTGAATGTTTAGTGTTGTGGCCATGCATGGGGAGTAATTGAAGCTGTCAATCTTCTGCTGAAGTTTTCTGCAGTCTCCAAAACATTTGCATTTCTTCAGTCAATCAAACCCTTGGTAAACACGAGGGATGTGTCCCTGCTGATATTACAATAAATCATGCCAAGTCAAATCTCTCCTTTGGGACAAATGTGGTCATGAGCATGAGAAGGAGGCTCTGCTGTGAGTTTGTGAGGACACAGATAGAAACCGCCCGGGGAACCATCGTTTTTCTCTTCATTAATTCCGATACAAACTTCCTGACAGGGCTTCTTACCTCCAAGGATACCATCTCTGTTCTCATTTAATCAAGTCTGTGTCAGTTTCCTCCTCCGGGATCACAGAAGTCACTCAGCTGTTAACGTTGCCAGTCGTGTCCTTTGTTCCGACAGATTGGAAATGATTAAATCAGAATCCCGAAGTCAGTTTTTAATCGCAAAAGCTCAATAAGCGATAAATCCCCCAATTGTCCACTTAAAGACCGAATCAGCTCCAACATATTTTGTTTCCTTGAAGATTCATTTTTCTAGTTTGTTTGACAAAGAAAAGGAGTTTGGATTCCATTTTGTTCTTCCAGCTTTAAGCCTATATGCATTTTCCTTTTAGAAGCCAAGAAACATTTGCATCAGCAAGTGCTTGGCAGGTAACTGCTGAGTGTGAGTTTAAGAAGAAACGTGTTCATTAAACCGATTTTAAAAGCTTTGATCTGAGCAAACTGTCAGCTAAAGTTAAAGCAAGAAAAAAAAAGGGTTCGGTTTTGCTGATGCTAGTCCTCCTGCTTTTCTCTAAAAGTCAAAGGAATACTGATTCATTTTTTGGTCAAAATTCATCAAAGTTTGCCTGTAAATGCCACCTTTATTTGTCAGAATGATTTACTGTTTATACAGTATACCTAGGACTAGCTGGTTTTCCATAATGTTCTTATGAAGAAACCTATATATAGTTCTTTTAAAGTAAAAATAAAAGAGCAACAAACCGTTTGTGAGTTGCCGTATATTTGACGTGATTCCATCAAAACCGGTCGTTTGTGCTCAGTCATGTCACTACTTTTCTAGGAGTGCGTCTAGGAGGAGAAGTTTATTAACAGCTGTTGATACTTGTCTGAGTTTCAGACTGTGGAATTAGTCTAATTAATGGAACAGACGTAGAAAAACAGCACAGCATGTTGACAAGTTTGTCTCATACCAGATGGAAGCCATAAATTGATTTCATTTTTTGGCTGAAGTTTCCCTTGCTCATCTAAATGAGTGATTCTCAGTTTCTGAATAAAAAGTACTCACTGCAAACTACAAAGTCCAACAGAACTGTTGACCTGAACTACAATAAAAGGTGTAGTTTGAAATAGATTTCCAGATTTATAGTGACAAACAATTCTAAAATTAAGGTACCAGTGGTGCTTCCAGAAATATTTTATTGAGGTGGCCACTAAAAATCCTGGGGTGGCACATAAAACGTTGTAAAATATCAAATTTCTAATATACTGTTGAAGTAAAGTGATCATTTGAAAACTTCGACAAAATGGAAGTTTAGGAGTAGGCCTGTCACGATAACAAATGTTGCTGGGTGATTTATTGTCTCAGAAATTATTGCGATAAACGATAATGTTGTTTGAAATTTGACAATAATTAGTAATTATCCAAAAATGAGATTTTTGGATTGTTAAAATTGATTTTAAAGAGAAAAGAGAAAGGGGGGGTCAGTGAAGAGCGCCAGAGTTGAGCCTTTTGTCATCCAGTGTCTTCAGTAGAAAGAGAGCGACACAAAGAAATGATAAAGCCGATAAAGGGAAATGATTTCGATAATTTAAATGTATCACGCGATTGATTGATTGATTGACAGTTAACTCAGCTTGAGACGTTGGTTTTTAATGTTTTTAATCTATTTTTTAAAATTGTTTTTATTGTTCCTTTGTTTGTTGTTTTTATGAGCTAACAGTTGATTGTTTTTTGCAATTTTAATTGATTTCATTGTTTGTATGTTTGCTTTGACGTGTGTAGGGGAACACCACCTCAGAAAAAGATCACCTCATCTCAAACAAACATCATTCCTGTGTTTTGCGTTGGAAACTGTTAAAATAAGATTCATCTATTCCTTTGGGAACAAACAGACATTGTTTTGCAAATATTCAACTCAGTTCACAAACTTCTTAGGTGACACTAATGTGAATGTAATTAAAAAAAAAAACTGTCACGTTGTTAAACAGATTTCCAATATGAACTCATTTCCCATGAAACGGACAGATCGTTTTAATGAGAGCTTTTGGTTCAACTGGTGTCGAAGTTTTGAAACATCTGAACTTGCTACGTTGAGATTTCATCTTTATCAAAAAGGAGAATTCCTCCCAGAACTCGTTCCCATGAAGATAACACATTAAAGAACCCTTTGTTTAATGACATTCCTTTCTAGGAGATGGACAGCGACACCTTTTGGTGGAACTTTGCATGTTATTGATTCAAAATATGTCATACTTAAATGTTTATTCATGAAAATGTGTGTTTTAAGTAATCTTTCTTTAAGATAATCATTTGTCTTATTTTTCTCTTTTAAAAGGAAAACTTTTAAGGCAGAGAAAAGGACTATAGATTTATTTAAGAGGCCTTCATAAAAAACACAGCCAAGAGTTAGGACCATCCCTCCTGAGGTGGACCTTCATTTCTGTTTTTACACAGACAGTTAAGTTTCACTTCTACTTCAACTTCTTCTACTTCACAACTTCTTCTACATATTACACTGGAGTTCGGAACTGGGAGAGAAGAAACCCAGCTTCTGCACTGGACTCAGAAAGGAGAGAAGCATCCTTTCTGCAGACGTCTCAGGACGAGAGAAAGACACAGAACCTGACCGAACCAACCATCACACCACAGAGTGGTAATCCCCAGCTGACTCCCATATGGACCCTCGTCCCTCTAAGGTGACAGTTGGAGGAGAACTCAGCCTCTCAGTTAACCGGAATATCTGAGGTGGGTACCATTTTAAGCAGCGGTTGGAACCATTCTGGCATCTCATCCTGGTAGGAGAGAGACTCTTCAATGCCTTTCTGGTGAACCATCACAACATATCAGACAAACCTAGCTCACCTTAGACACAAGTTTAACCACTTCACAAACAGAACCAGTCCAAAATCTGCCTTTTAAGTTTCCTCATCAATTAGACCTTTGATTCAAAGTAATTTGATGTTCAGTTAACTTTTGTCATGCATAATTTTCATCACATATATCACAGGTTATTATTATTTTTTATAATAAAATACATAAAATCAACTGAATTTGTGATTATTTTGGCATATCTGTGTGTATTAACTGATTTGATGCCCTTTAAACACGAGAAAAGAACACATGTTTCAGTTTACATTATTTTGGGGTAAATAGAGACTGATTTTTCCTCTCCAAGATAGGTGGTGCCCAAACAACGAGGTTGTTTGCATAATACATGCATATCTTATGAGCTTAACTCATAACTGATAATCAACAATGTATA